TTCTGTGCCGATCTTCAGGCGGCGTGAGCCAACACCATGTTCTGATATCGCCAGTGAGATTGGTTATGTGGAGCTAAGTGTTATCAAGGCTGTCTCCATTTTGTCTGTCTTACTATACACTATCCATTCACAGCTAAACTCGAATATCCTGTGCTCAGTTGTGTTAAGCCAAAGGATAACTGGGGAATTCCACACGTGAAACATTCATCGAGCGTATGTGAATCGGCCATCTTTCAACCACACCACTCATAGAAAACGAGTGAACTTGAGCAAACTTAGCAGGATTTCACAACCCAAAAGGCTGGGCAGTCAGGAAAACGGCTGGTTCGCAAAACGGTTCACTGAAACTTCCATGCTGTCAGACGAAAAATGATCCCCAAACGGGTGGCCATGACGGCCTGACGTCAAGCAAACCTGGGAGAATCTATACCTGAGAACTCGTGCACTCATTGTTACCTTTATTACTACTTGTAGACAATCCATCGGCCTGTTCGACCGTCAATTCCCCCTTATGATGTTCAGTCACCGGTTCTCAGATTTCATCCAAATTAACCCATCGGTTTTCGGTTGCTGCGTCATATCAACACTATTGACGGTCGAGTTGCAAAACACGCAACTTCAAACCATGTCGTCGTTTTCTTCCGTCTTTGGAGAAAGTGCAAAAACAGGGAGAGAAGAAAGATGACTCCCTCACGAAAGTGTCACCTTGTCGTCACTGTAACTGACAGAGTATATCAATACAAACGCGCTGAATCTCAGTGCAGTCACATAATTCGAGGCATACTAAAAATATAGAACTGTTTAGTTTGTTCATTGTACAGGGTATGAAGAACACCGTTTACACAGCGCACTGCATCCGTGTTCGATGCATAAGATGAGATTTGGTCAAGGAATTTTTTTTCAAAATTGTTCAAGATCGATTCTACGGATAACCTGTATGGCCCATCTATGTTCAAACTATGTTTGAGAACTCCGGACTCCAAATATGCCTCGGAAGTCAACAAAATACTGATGTTGGGAAACAATGTCGATGAATATTCACCATTCAAACTAATTGAGAACACTAAGCACAGCGTAATTGTGTCCAGCAAAATTGCACTTGAATAATGGCGGTTACGGCTCGAGGCTTTCCACCAATAACAGTATCTTACAGTTAAACCGCACCTAAATACATTATAACCTTTAATTATGAGCTCAAACACCACCGTTTATTTGTATTCGATAAAGTAGTCAACAGCCATATCATTTTGTCTGTTTTGTCCAAGAATGTCCCGCATTTTCTTTGCATTTGCTTATGTGCATTTGTGAGTCCTGTTCAACAAAGGATGCATATATGAAAAGTCAGAAATTTCGGGGGAAAACCGTTTTTGTGGTTGGCTAGTTCTAGAGCAGCAAAATGGTTGAGGGAAACATGAACAAAACCAACACCTTCACAATTTCAAAGCACTGTTTACTGGCAAAGTGATGAGCAGCCACCACCAAGTAACGACTACGCTTTTTACCGCTCGACCAACAGTCAAATTTAACCTGTCAAAGCGATCAGTTGGAATTCTCGTCCGCGATTCGTTCGTCCCAGCACTGGTATTCAAGTGGCATTTTCGATTCCCAGCTCTGAAACTTGCGAAAAATACCTGAGGACGATTTGTATATCTCTGTACGATGCTGTTGATTGGATAACATCAGCTGATTTTTTTAGTCTAACGTATGAACTAGCGAAACAGTTAGAGAAAAAAAGGACTTTCCGTGTTTGATATACAATAGGGCAGGAAGATCTACCGGACTAGCAACGGCACGATTTCCTAATCTATTCTCCGTCTGTTCGGGTTGTCGGACAAGTGCCAACTGCATTCTGATGACCAGTCAGCCAAACCATCAACTACTGGAGTAGCGACCAACCAGACTAACAACCCCCAAACCACCATTCCTTCGCTACAGTTGACTATTTTTCATCGGTTCGCGAAATGGCGTACACTTACTCAATTAGACAGCGGTTTTGATGTGTGTTCGTTCGGCTTCCCATCCAGGAGAGAGTGGTACACATATGCACTTATTCTCACAAGCTGGCCCTCTGATGGTTCCTTCCGGTAAGTAAACAAACATACATATACGGAACTCCAAAATAAGAGCACACTCTGATGTTGATTTGATTAGGCCTTTCTCGAGTGGAATGTCCGATCTTGAAATAGGGGTGGGAATGGGGGTGTTATGGGGGTGGGTGAGGAGCAATCAACCACGGTCAATCGAGTTACATTCGGGCAATCATTCCCATCCAGGAAACCGCAAAGTTGCATCATATACTTCGAACTGATTGATTATTCTGATTTCACGAAAACGCGATTGGAGCTAAGAGTTGTGTTTGATTTTTTGTGTTGTTGAACCAAATGTATTTCCTCCCTCCGCCAAGCGAAACTAATCAATTTGCTCATCCGAGGTGAATCAACTTGGTGATATCATGATGACGAAATCGAACAGACGTGAAGAGCGAATTGCGAACCATTGTCATGCGAAGAATTCATCTAGTAAGAGTGATGGATATTTGAAGTTCACTGTGACACAACAACAGCCTGAGGGCATTTCAGCCATGGAATGTACACAGACTATCGACTGAAGACCAGAGATGACTAATTTTACAAACCCGATGGACATGTTAAATCCTTTAGAAGTTCGAGTGTATCTGGTCCCAGTTGCAATTTAGTCACATTCGGAGAAGAAAAAGCTCAGAGTAGATCCCCGCATGTCGTACATAAACGTTCTGCTGAATATTTCCCGATGACAGTTAGTATAAGATTTGTGTCATAATGCACATTTAAGGTGAGGAGGGCCACTTTAACCAAATCGCCCGTTATGCTGAGATACTCGCCTGAACTGAAAAAAAACTTAAATTACTCGACTTTGAAACCAATGCTGTTCTGCCACACGATAAATGAGTTTGCTCAAGTAAGAGACAACCCCCGAAGAGGATAGTTTTGGCGGCGCGTATTTTTTCTGATTGAGGAATGGTAGGGCAGACGCCTAAATGACCAATTTACTCCTCAAGAGGAATTGTCAGCATGGAGACCTCTGTGAGGCTAAGGTATATTTACTAGCAGATTGTCTTCTTAAACAGCCTATCAGAAACTACGCTATCTCGGTTCACCTACGGGGTCTTTTGGATTAAATGCGAGTTGCCCTGGTGGACACACTAGCCGGCGGATTTACACACAGCACCTTTTGTTGTAGCATGTCACGGTTACAACGTCAGCTAAAGACTGAACAAATAAGGTAGCGCAATGCAACTCAACGACGGCACTGTAATCGTTGCAAACGGAATCCCCGCAATGAGCAGCAAAACGACTCGTTCGTAGTCACTTGGACGACCAATACAAAGGTTCATCATACAAAACCGGTGTCTCAGTAGTCTTTGAATATATGGAGCATTCAATTCAGACAAACTGAGAAAAACTCCGTCGTACCCTCACATGGGCCTTCTGGTTACAAAGATTATGACATGCTTCCGGCTGGTAAGGGAAAGGCTAGCGTGCAAAGGCTTCGGTGTCTTCCTCAACTTAGTGTGTAACTACAATAGAACATTTTTATTGTCGATTCATGCTCCCTCCGAGGATGAATAACATTAAGCTCCACAAAGTTAGCGAGTGCTAGACTGGACTCATTCTGAACAGGTTCGAATCTTTAGGTCAGATAACATAGGAGCCCAAATTGTCGAAGCTGTATCACTGCAGAACACTCACGGCGTATGTTCGAAAAACAAACCCGATAAAGGCACCACCTGAGAGAGCGTATGTAAGGGCATACATGAATTGCACGCAAAATTTGCGGGACTGGTAGCATAAAGCAGAAACCAAAAGTTTGCCTACAGATTGCTAGATTATCGATTGCCAATTACTGGCAACACCACTAATCGATAACCCATTAGAAACTAAGAAATTGGCGTAGCTGAACGGACAAATGTGGCCAGTCGGACTGATATCAACCATATAGTTCATAAAATGAATGCAGAGCCATGTATGGCGTATCCATTATATATTTGCCGACACTTTTTCACAGGTCTGATCATTAGCAAGAAAGTGCGGTTTCGAATCGCCCAGAACACGCGCAACGACCAACGATCGGTCGCCCCATGTTTTGAACCACTGATTCACTGAATATCATTGGTTTCAGTCGAAACAGTTTAAGGGACCTACATGCGAACAAGTAATCTCTTACTGCGTTTGGTCTGCGACTGTCCTGTTTTCGTTCCGTTGGTTCTTTGCTTTGAGTATCCCTTCGTTACAAACTACATGGTGTTGTTGATTGACGAGTGCTCAGCGTACACTTGGACAAAATACAATCAACTTTGATAGTTTCCCAGAGTGTGGCACGGTGCGTTTTGTGGGGAGCGGGCAAGGGCTTGCCACGGGCTAAGAGTAGTCCGGAAGAATTGGTAATTTGCCGGTCAGGTTAATTGCTCCCAGGTCGTATGAGTTGGTGATCATTAGACTAGCAAGTCAACGGACAACACAGCACCAACGTATTCTTTAATTTCTTGGTGTCAATACCTGATGCTACCCCCGACAACATCAGTGACAGTTACATAAGAGTTGAACCTCATTAATGTACAAGTCGGTACGCAGATTTCGATACTCACATGAGGACAATTGCAGCTCACAACTGAAGCCCTAAGCTCAGATTCCCTTACTGAAATGACACAGTATTATAGCCAAGTAGACAATTACTAAGGCAACACCTGGTGAGAACAAGGTTCGTTAGACCTCTGCCTATTAAATATCCTTGTATTAGCCTCCGTTTGGGTATCACATTTGGATAGCTCAGCAAGTCGTCGCAGTGAGATGAAGTCCAGGCCGTACCGGACACTTCCTACAAGATTCGCGCCATTAGAGCATCTGAACATAATGGAGCAATTCTGCCATACAGTTGCTTCCCTGAACAACGACAAAACCGAATCGCCAACACCTAGTACATCAGCCATCATTAACTGGGTAAGCAAGAGATGTTCACAAAATCGGCTGCAAAAATATCAATATCTATTCACACTTAGTATGAGCATAAAGTTTTATGGAGTGAAATGCAGCAGCGACATGAAACAACTATGCTTCACCATTCCATGCCGGATCCGAGAGCATCCTCCACAAATCGTTTGTAGATGGCCATAAATGAAATCACAAAAGCCTCCAAGTGAAAAATCGGCTTCTGTCCCAATTGCAAACGGTGCTCATATTCGGCGGCCAATTGGACTAACTCCAATTTCAGATTTCCATCACAAGATCCCAACAGGTTATCGACCAGACACTGCAGAGAGAGAAAGAGAGAATATTTAACAGAGATTCGTGTCAAGATAAGGGTGAACGAACTAGACGAACTGGATGAGAGGAATGAACTTTTCGGGAAAATACAGATGGATAGTCCAAGAGCCAGACAAGTTGATGGATTGTACAGTAAGAATGGAAACTTGGAAGTTGGAGACACGTGACAGGCTGCAATCTCGAGAAACGAGCACCTTGTCTGTGGGGGGATCCATTCACTTATTATGCCAACATTTTCAGCAGCGGTGTTTACAGGCTGTCAAGATGCCTCGAACTTTAGGCCTATATCACTAAAACAAGCACACAGCAGCAAGTTATCCGCACACCGAAGTGCAGGAGGGTAACTCTCGCGCGACCAAGGATCTAGGAACATATCCACACTTCAAAATTTACAAATATACGAGTATCATGAACAAAGAAACAAACAAGACATGTTCAGTGAATCTACTCCAAGCTGAATTCGGAGACCAGAGATGTCGAAATGAAGCGTGTGAGGTGCAACGGGAAAGGTGGTGCATCTAGTACGAATAAATCCACCGATGGGGATTACCTATTTTTTTTTCTTTAGCGTCAGGCCGATTTACATACCTCCTGATCGTCATTCATCGCAAAATGATTCTAGAAGTATCGACTATCCCTAGTCTATAGATTTGGTTTAAGGGTCTCCTTTCTGATCTTATCTACTAATAACAATCCAATCACTAATATTTCACATGACGTCTCACTCAAAATACGGATGAAGCAAGCCATGTATGGTAGCTATAACGTTCCCCTTCTGTACGCATCGAAAATGCGACATTGAAAAAGGATGACACTATGAGGACATCGAACCCCACAGGGGCTGAATCTACTATCTACATATTTTCGGTCAATAGGTGCATTTTTACGACGACTTTCCCCAGAACCCTGAGGAGCCTTTTTCTTCGGTTTGTTTGAGGAATGGAGGTTGTCATCACGAACCAGGTATTGATCAGATTGACAACAGCCATATCCAACAAAATACTTCAGACTTCAGGGGCTCTGCTAATTAGAAATAAATCCGGTTGACATAAAATCCGGTCTGATAAGTTCGTGAGTTCAACGAACTTCCTTCTCCGGAATCATATTGAATCAAGGGTTGTAAGATAGTCCGTGAAGAATAAAATTTCACTTCACTACATTAATCTACACATCTACAGTTCATTCAGCCGTCTTGATCTTCCTGTTGGTGTGATCGATGGAATATGACAAGTTGTGACAGACAAAGTTGTGTTTATGAACCTTATAAACTAATTTTACAGACATTGAGGTCTGTTGATAACACTTGTCAATACCCTAATGAAAAACGATGGTCAGAGGTGAGAAAAAGTGGTTGGCGTACCACTAATGGCTTGTCAGGCTAAAGCGGGCTAATTAACTGTGACGTGCATTTTGAGACAGGATAAGCGGCATTGGAACGCGGTACAGTAATAGCACAAATGATGTGCCAGAGGTGATTTACTGGCTGTTGTAGGTTATGAATAAAGGGACGGCTAAAAAGTTCGCCGAATCTGACTGCCAACGGAGGCTGTGCTCAGGTTGGGTGAACCTACCATCCGTTGAAGTAAACAACGTTACACAAAATGCGTACCCACGCATTCATCCAATGCAAGTGGCGATCAGAGTGTGTGCAAAGTCTATGGGAATGATACTCAATCAGGGGATGCTTTCGCTCCCGGAAGCGACAATATAGTACCAATCACGCCAAGATATGCCTCCAACTGCAGGTCTTAAAAACTTACGACTAAAATGTGTCAAAAACCAAGAGCTCTGTTGTATGCCGGCCTTTTATTTCCTCTGATAGCACGCCATTAGCACCACAGTGCTGACGCCAATCATATTGTCCGAATCATGAACAAAGTAAACATGCTCGGTACGGTAACAGCTCATACACAGGAAAACCGATTATGACCACTTTATCCACATGATCAGTGACATAAAAGCAGTACAGAGACTCCGTTGAGATTGTTGTCAGCGGGGACCTGCAGCCAACAGTTCCAGCTGCGTCAACTTTCAACAAAAAAGTATTTTCCAAGAAGTGATGCAAACCCGTGATGAGGCCAGCTCTCTGTAGCCTGATGCCCTGACATAGCAGCAGAAATCTAGATCACTGCTTCTGAACTAAAATCATGGTGAGCTGTCTCACTTGTGATACCTCAGATGATGCAAACTGGCAAATGCAATCGAGATTCGTGCACTAACACCATCTGTCACAATACGGTCCGAGCTAATGGGGCTGGTGAGATACGCCGTGTCCTGGAATCCCTACAAACATGTTCACAGATTGCACATCCGGCAGCATGACTTTGCGCGTCTCGAATGCAACCACATGCCAATGAATTGGATGGCTTTGGTCAATCTGAATAGTAACCCTGTTCAAGCAAGGGAACGTCGCCTTTATTTTCCAGGTCGACAAGGGTCTCACGCGAAAAGGTCAGAACACGGAAATTTCGAAGATTCTCCAGAGTTTGTCTTTTTATCCGGTCTACGACGAAATCGGAAGTGGAGACAGTGGACCCTCCTATCGAAAAGGACTCCTTGTAAGGGAACTTTCGGTACTCTCTAAACTATCACGCACTCACATCAAAATGCAAAAAAACTTCTGAGGCATATACTGTCACAAGTGTGTTGAGAAGAGCGAATCGCTCGACAGAATCCAACGCACTCTTGAAGTCGAGATACCTAAATCGAGAGGCAGTTGCGTATTCTCGAAGCCGTTCCAAGTTTACTCTCCAAGTTTCCCTGAGGGTCCAGAATCCGCTCAAGCTGCTCAGCCCGATTCACGCTCTTTTTAAAGATGAGCGAGACATTTTCCTCGTTGATCGTTTCACTCATCAGTTATTCATAAACCTGTTGGGTGTAATCGTTTTCGCATGTCAACAAGGTTTTTTACTAACTCTAGCTCTTCCTCTTCCTGAACCAAACAGGCTCCTAGATCAACGCAGATTCTCTTTTGACGTTTGACAATTCGTCAGGTTGTATCTTACTAACGACCAGCATGAGCAAGTTTAAAGTTTCGTTCAAGATCGGACACCTAGATGGAGTCGTCTGCGCCGTTTTGCAAACAGAGCAAGAAGAATTGTACAGGGTCGGGGATGGAAACATCATACCAAAGAGACTTCAGTGGGTGGTTTAGACACATTTGCATCGTGTCTGAAAGCTTCTTAATGGTCACCTTAATGGGAATCTTGCGCCCATCGAAATCCACAAAGCAACAACGGACAAGCTTGTGATCAGTTTGAGGCGGTTTTCAGTTGTGTGATCCATGGTTATACATGGGCTAAGATACTGCCATGCCGCCCACCGGTGATGACTCCAAATAAGGATGAAACAGTTGTACATTGCTCATCGGCTTTTTCAGCACAAAGTGGCTCCAATTATGGGAAATCTCAATTTAAAGAAAAATGATTTTCCAGATCATTTTGGCATGCGCTTCTCACTTGCAAATTGTAAAGTGCGTAAAGTGCATGACAACCAATAGAAATGATGGATGAATTTGTTTGCCTAGACAGTTCTATGAGCTCCGTAAATTGACTGAAAACGAGATTAAACCTCAAGTCGGGAGGGCCAGGGCAGCCTTTGTTAACTTTTGACACCTGCGTTACACCAGTTTGCCTGCTGAGACGGTGCGAATGAGAACATCGGATTAACAATGCTGAGGTACTTCAGATGACTTCAGATAAGAGGAAATGTTCCACGGTGGGTGAGCTACTCCTGTTTCATATATTACGGTGGTTAGGAAACATACTTCGCATGTCAGATGACCATCTACCTCGCAGTCCTTTTTGCCCACCCCTGTGCTGAGTGCAACCGCGGGGGGGGGGGGGGTTTAAACCGTCCACGACATGGAAGGATGAAAGCACTAACGAGTAAACTCATTCGAGTTGACAAATGTTGTCTCTCTGTATGGGGACCCCGGGGATCGACTCATCTATATTTAATGGCGCCGGTACACAGGGCTCAATCGCGCAATCAATGGCGCCATTCATCAATACTATCGTCTTCAATATGCAGCTGTCCGATTTCGCTCTCCCTCAGATCAATATACAATACGAATTAACTGGTCAAGTCAACGTCTCCAGTGCTTGGCTATTTCTCCCACGCTCTTCCATTTTTCGGTGATTGAAATTGTAGCATCCGGAAGCAACGCACCCTTGATAGATGTTTTACAGCCAATAAACTGAACTGAATGGAACACTACAAGTGAACACCTGCGGTGGCGTGGAGCTGCTTTCAACACAAGTGCACGGCCTTAACTACGCTGAGGATACAGGAACGAAGATATGAATCGCATTCAAGTCACCCCCGATTTCGGCAGTGCAGAATGTACTTTTGACCAGTTAAGCATCAGGCTTTCGTACAAACATGGCCTGTAGCCACATCCACCTTGATATTCACAAACGAGCTGTTTGTAGTCGCGATCTACTGCACATGACCTAGATGTAACTTCTCTGCAATTGGTGATCCAGCCTGGGAAATGAACCTCATCATCCAGGGAGTTAACCTGCCGATCATTAACGGCGGTGAATCAACTTACACTTGAAGGGGCGACTTAAGAGCTTTTCGCCCCCAGTACTCCTTTTACATACGCGTGAAAGCTGATCATTACAGGTAAACTTAACAACCACCTGTACTCGACCATCGTTGTCTACAAAGTGTCTGACGGAAGTAACGATTAAGAATTGTGGACTAGTCTAACTGATGAAGAAAACAAAGTTAGAGTGCGTTGTCCAACTACATTGACTTCGTTGGTTAGACCACCTATTGAGGATCGAGAAGGCACGATTAGCAAGACAAGTCTTTATCATCCTGTCAGGATAAAACTGTAGGGAGAGCTATGAGAATCAACTTTTGATTTTAGGGTAGAAAATAATGACTTCGGTTGGACTTCTCAGCTGTCTGATAGAGTACCGAAAACTAGTAGATCCCAGAACACAGTGCATCGTGATGCAGACCCGCGGGGGAATACTCAAGTTAATAACTATTCCATTTTTAGGGTCGCAACTCGGTTGCCTCCTTCAATGTAAGCAATCAGGGGTAAAGCACTGACAAATGAGGTTGTCCCTAAAATCTGCCGACATCTACGTGGTCACCGTTCAACCTCATCATTATCATCATCATCACCATTGAAAGCAACACCAGAGAAGAGCCGTTTGAAGAGGTGAATCAACTTGAAAACAAATTCAAAGTGATAGGCCGAAGAGAATCTCCGCCAGACTTAGAATTCCAGTGGCGTCACTCAGTTAAATAAAAGTTGTGTTGGTAGTCCGAAACATTCTGAAACTAGGGTACTCTTCACTACGGTGGCTTCCGTGGCTTTTATGTTCAACCGAACACACCACCATCATATGCGGTGGAAAAAGGACAGGAAACGGGCTTAGTGATCAAATGAATTGACGATTCTCACGGGAAGTGAACATACGGGTTTGGTTACGACAAAGCGCAAAACAACCGGACTTAGGCCACGTGGTGACCCGCAAGAGATTTGGACCGTCTAGCAACGTATGCACTTAAGTGGGTGTGGAATGTACGGTCAACCGTCTTGTATCCTACATCACTCAGAGAAAACCAAGGGAAAGTAATAAAGCATGTTTTGTTGTCTTGTTTGGAAAAAATCGGAAGCGGCCTCAGCTTGACAGCCTATATCCGGTGGCAAACCGAAATCACTCCATATCTTGAGGAAGATCTCAGAGAAACAACAGGAAACACATTGTGTATGTATGTACGTGTGTGCATATCTAGATAAGAGGAAATTATCTGCACAAGTAAAAAAAGTTGGCCAGACAGGGGACGGAAGAGCTATGGAGCGGGAGAAGTCTTTGTGGACGGAGTGTTTTAGAATGGAACTTTATTTCTCAAAAGGCAAACCGGTTGCTGCACTCTTTGGTTGCATGCACTCCGAAGGTGGCACAAAGGCTGAAATAAAGTGAAGTTGCCGAAACCTGGGCAGATACAATCGAGAGGTCAGGATTATTCCAACTACTGGTTTCCTGGTAAGTAGCTTGGACCTCATTTACTACGGTGTTTTAAACTCTCTTCATGGGGAGCTTGTTGAGGGAGTTGGCTACTATATGGTTCAGCAGCGAACAGATGGTCGGCGTAAATGGNTGTACCGCAACGGTTATAACCGTGCCTAAGGAACATTAATGAACGGGAAGATTCGGACTGGTGCATCGACACCAAGAGACCTGTAAGGGAACACGACAAGTAAAATAATGCGAAGCTGACCAAGCCCAGACAAGCACGAACCATGTTCCACAGGGTTGGACATGAACCAAATGACCTTCTGATCAAGAGCTGATGTCTTAGCTGCTGTAGTGTTTCGAGCCTTGTTTCCGTATCCCTAAGTATAATAAAATACCACGCAACTGCATCAAAACCCACGGACGAAATGCAGAACCCGGTTAGATCGTGTGTCTATTCACATGAATTAAGACCCCCAAGGGTTGTGGCACACCAACCAATGAACTCCTTGTGATTACGGGAGGAGACCGGCATGATTTAGACATTATACACACGTTGTGACACGGCCGAAAGATGGCTATCGCGTGCAAGGAACTTTGCGAACAGCATCATTTCGGAGACAATCACAACTACAATGCGAATGTATTTCGTGCTGATTCGATGGGGCCAGCAAACCAAGTGGATCGATGCCGAGGACGATAACGGCTGCTCACACAGTGGATTTGTATCAAATATGTGATTTAGTTCATAAAGTGACAGAAATTGTATTGAATCTTCAGCACCGTCCGTTGGAATCTTTCCGCCTCTCGTAATGAAAATCACAGGAACCTGTGATTTGGATGGGTTCCTCGAAATGCTGCATATCTGGTGGTTCAAGCTGAGGCACTGACCCCAGGATCCAGTTGGGCGACAACTGTAGAGAGCGACTAATGATAAACTCGTTGGTTAAACCCGCATTCCAGCAACTTTAAAGCGGACTCTGCAACTGAATGGGGCAATTCGGTCAACCAAAAGAGGTCTTATGTAAGAAATTCAGATACACCGAACGACACAGTCACAGCATAATGATGACGATGATGGTCATTCACAGGGAGCAGTGGGTCCATCATTCTGTCCCAGCCGTTCCTGATTCGAACTGTTGGTATGTCGTAGATCACGGTAGAGTATGAGACTGACAAATCCCGGATATATTGTCGAGCAACCTTGGATGTAAATATGATTCACGCCACAAAGAATACTACTGTTACGAAAATTTCCACTTTGGAACTTGCACATGGCCAGTCTGTCAGGAGCCTCAAGTGTGGTTACTCAGTATGAATTCCAAACAAATCTATTCGATTTAACACGAGTGTCTGTTGAGACAATTACAGAGTTCCTGAACAGTTCCGTCTAGTACTACATAACCTTACGGTATCTAACACTAGTGCTCTCCAAGGGTTGCACGGTAGACCAGTACAGAAACGGCCCAGAATGACTGACTTCGTGTTAATTTAGGAAGTTTGATCAAGAACAGTAAACGAACTGACAAGATTGCGCCCAGAGGAGTGTTTGCTCAATGCAAAATATGGATTGACACTCTCTACGAAATTGGAATAATCACCTTCGAAGTAAATAAAACATTATCTTACCCGCATGATGACGTCTGTAGGAATGCAGTGAGATAGAAGTTCATAGAGGCGTGCACGAATCTCCAATATTCTATGGAAGAAAAAGCAACGTTTAGGTGATGACAATCGCGCAATATAGAAGCCGGTTTCGGACAGTGTCTAATTTATTGCCGAGTAACCGACTCTCTAAATAAACACAACTAACTAAAGCAATAGATGTAGTCTCTGCTGTGGGTTATCTCATTCTCGGGTGAATGTGAAGTGGATCCCTTCTCTCCTCACCGTAACCACCTTTGGCCGGTCCCGGCAAATTTTCATCAGGGACATTGGAGAATGAGTCGCCGCATTTCTGGTGGCAAACACAAACAGATTGGTTCGCATATCACCCACGACACGACATATGGTGTGTGTATCCCTGGAATAATCGTCATAGATCGATGGAGGAAGCTGTCGAAAGATATCATCTAAAACTAGCCTCTTGTTCATTCACCCTATACATTCGAAAAAGAAAGTTAAATCTTAACAGCTTTCTGTGCCGCAATGTAGGCTCGTCAAAATGACAGCGACCCCACTCTCCTCGTACTGGAAGAACATTTCGCAAACTACTCGTGAGTAGCCAGTTGATTGCAAAAACTGTGAACAACTGGACTTTCTGTTGTTTCGGAATAGGGCTTTAGAGGGCCGTCCAAGGGTTAGGTTACACACTCTACCGCGTGATCCTGTGTAATAACCGGCCCCGATCGGTTTCGTGGGCAGTTTCTGTGGCTTTCCGTGGCTCACAACAGATACACCAGAATGAAAACCACACGACATGGTCAGGTCTGTGGTGACTTTCCATCCAGATATGAACTCTGAGTTTATCCTACGGCACAGCAATGTCTATACGGATTAGAAGGCACATTCGTCGATGAACTGCGTAGGGTGGATCAAACATCGCTGACAAATAGCCATTTACTATTTGGGTGACTCCTGCCAAAACCAGAACAATACAATGCCATGTAGACTATCAGCTTAGTGCTCCAAATCGTTTACAAGGCACATATTAATATCGGTCCTACGCTGTGCATAAAAATAAATGGTACAAGCTATACAGCTGTCCCGCCCACGTCACTATTAGACATTATGAACTACCCTAGGACGGAATGACTGATGCCACTTGGCGTGTGCCTACCCTTCGTTAAACATGATATGTACCCAGACAGTAAAAATGGATCCAATAAACAGCTGTTCACCTCATTGCGCTATGAGCTCAACATAAAATTGCAATAGAGGTGGATTTGTTACCAGGAGGGTGGTCAGAAAAGGAAAACTGTATTCCGTACCAAATGGGTGCGTCGGTTGATCAGTTGAAAACTTCAACCTCGGTTTCTTCTCACAGTTTCTGTTACACGTGTTGCCGCCGGATGGCTAATTCAATCGGATACTTCGTTCGAAACCCTCAGCATCTGTGCTACAAGAAACTATTCAAGCTATTCAATTATAGGGCAGGGTTAATGTGACCGAAAAATGAAGAACCGATTAAAAGCATGCCCCAGGATATTACTACGGTTGATGGGTAAAATTAAGGGATCATGTGATGAGTCACACTTAAGATTAAAACTGAGCTCAGATATGTTGTGTACGATGCTTTTTAATCAATCGAAGGACCAAGAACACTGTCATGAATATCATAAAATGGTGCAAACAGGTGTAAACAACTCTAGAATCAAGGACGGATCAAACGGAGATTACGAAAATTGATCAAATCTCATTCACAAGGCATCCATTCACAGTGATTCCGAACTTACTTTCTAGGACTTTGTTCTGCAAGAATAGCAGAGGCGGTTTCCGCTAAGAAAACTTGCCAGTCAGGCAACTGAACCGGCTGTTCGGCTGACATCGGGCTGTGTTGCCATTTGGCAACCTCAGCCAAAAGTAAAGCACGGCGAAGATTTCGTTCTGAGGCGTTAGCAATGCGTTCAGCTAACTCGGTCGGCATCGACTGACCCTCGCGTCGAGCGGTGTTTTTTAGTATGTGCACTATCTGATCGATGCTTGGTGCAGCAACTCGGATTGGCAGACAACGAGAACGAGTGGCAGAAATTATCTTTAAAAACGAAAAACATGCGATGATTGAATCGTGGTCATGTTTTGGATGGAGGCTATGAAGAACACAGGTCAATTCACAATAATGAACTGATGATCTTTAAGCGTATCATCCATATCATGAGGTTGCGTCGGATATTTGGCCACCTTTATCTATGGTTACGTACAGTATATGCCGTTTTCGCTCACAAGACACATAGTGACACTGTTTCCGATGAGAAGCTTTGAATGGCGCACTTCCACAGGCTGCGTTGATAAGCATTATGGGTAACAGCCACACACAAGAGTGGTGATATAGTATGAGTTGTGGCAATTTTCGGTAACAGAAGTCAATTCTTTTCAAAAGGTGTTACAGCTGAACTATTCAGTTTTTTTTCATTTCAAAAGGGTTTGATAAACACTCGGTGTGTTTGTGGTTGAGCAACGTTTCGCTTTCGACATAAAAGCTTCATCAGGCCAAGTGAGTAAGCTCCAAGGTTGACCGAGTTTTAAGGCAGACGTATAACTAATAAGCAGGATCTCTTCCGATTGGCATATTAGATCACTGAAGAATGTCAGTCAAATTATCTCGTCTGTTAGTGGGGTGTCTTACGATCGAATTTAAAATCACTCCGACCGGCTTTGGTTATCCGATCTTCCGGTTCAAGGCACTTCAACTGACTATTTTTTTAGTGTCACTGGTAAATTTTGTTGGTCTGTGAGGGCTTTCAAGTGCCACAACAATTTGGGCAGGGGTGCAATTACGTGGAATTTTTGGTCGGCTTGGTTCATGAGCTTCAGATCTGAGCTAGTTCTGTTGATGACTCACCTTCGCGGCCTGTTTATATTTTTCCATTGTGCTCACCGATTCTGGTGTGCACCTCTCTACCCGTCTGTCCTTCCCAGAACTTAAGGCAATCGTTCCATTAAATTTTGTAGACACATTCCCTGGTTCCATTCGCTGAGTGGCGATCATTCAATCGACCAAGAAGAGGCAACCTTGTTCGCTACTGTTCGGGTCCGTGTTTGACTTTGAATGACCTCTACCAGTAAACATCGGAAAGGGCCTGTCGAACACAAAATCAGATCACTTCGCCGTCTCCTCTCCTGAGTGAATCCGTCTGGAGTAGGTACTCAACAACAATTGACAGCTTCGGAAACTCTACTACATATGACTGTTCAGTGTTAACCAGCCATGTTCAAGTAAATAAACTTTACCCCAAAATATGCACTTTTCCAAATGGTTAGGACAAAGAGCAAGAGAACAGCCTTACCATAACCGTGTGTTGCACTGCACACACTTCAAAACTCATCTTTGATTCTGCCATTCAGTTTACGTTACGCTTGCAACAACCGGTCAATAGATGTTGCAGATAGGCGCAAAACGGAGCTACTGGATCACATACCTACACAGAGTTTAGTAACGGAAGAAAAAGAAGTGAAGATAGCCGGAATAGACCTCACTAGCGGTGAGTAAATCTCGTAATGAACTCCAACACTGAGCTGAAAACACCTGTCAAGGTGTTTGACATTGGCTACAACGAATGTAAGCGTGAATGTCCAATGACAAAGGATGCAGCAGTCAAATAAATAAAAATTCGTATCAGCCCCTAAACAATAAACAAAGGACTCCCGTCAAAGCGGAGGCCTAATTTAACTTGGCCACTGTTCAAATAAAGGTGGCGAGCGGAAGTACGACCATAGTCCTTTTAGTCCTTTATGAGCAGCTGACGACTCACTTTCGAAATACATGCACACCGTCTTGGGATGGCGCAGAGATTAGGGTTCAAGATCCTCACCGATGTACTCTACCAACGGCCCTTCCCTCATTCTTATCTACCTGGGTGACAAAACAGTATTTCCGTTCTTGTATGTTTTATGGGTTGAGTAACGGCTGTGGCAACCCTCTTGATTACAAGTTCACACTCAAGATAAGTAAATGATATTATGTGAAAAAAGACTTTCTTTAAGCTATGGATGTGCGAATCCCTACTCGAAGGTCTGCAGTTCCAGTCCAACTCTAACATACAGTCTGACCTCTTTAGGTTTGGAAAGCAACCTGATAGAATCTCTCTCATGCGGATGGTACGGAAACGCCAAAGCTAAGTAAGATAGGGAGTGTGGTGGGGAGGCAGGCACTAGGAGAGACGGCTAAAATGGAAACAGCTGGTTACGTCTCAGAACTTAGTTACTTACGAAATTCACAGTCACCAGCTATTTACCTTACTGATTGATTCTGCAGATAAGATCAATCGACAGGTCGATATATACTTCTCCATAGTACGTCTAAGTGCATGCTGAGCATCTTTCGTGAGGTGATCAGCTTCATGGAGCACAACGACCTTGAAATCGCGTTGCTGTGCACTATCTAACTGCGCAGTTGAAGCCATGGTCTTGATCAGTTCCTGGACGACGACGCGGTCGTAAATACCGACTTCACTAGGGAAGAGATAGCAGAGGACGAAAAAACGACAATATCAGGAAAAAACACAGAACGAGTGCTTGAGAGAAATTTTATCCTATCAAATCTGGCCATGTTGGTCTCAACATCATCACTTGTCATCAGTTGGGGTGAATGGATTGAACCCATACAGCCCTAACTGTAGTATGGAACACACGACCCTTAAGATTCAGTTACATAACTTTTTGATGCCACAAGTGACGCAAATTAGCAAACGTGATTATGACCTTCAAGACTCGTGCAATAACTTCATCAGTCACATTTCCATCGGAGCCACTACAACTACCGAGGTGTGTAAAATTCTCCACAACCTCCAGTGATTCTCCTTGAACTGTAAGTTATGTGATCGAAGACTACACGTTCTGAAGCAGGACTTTTTACTTTAAAGGTGCAAGGCACATGCCGAAAAATGGTATGACGGTGTCAGTCTATTCAACAAGGCTTGTGCTGCACCTTGGTCTTCAAAGGTGAGGGCGATGTAGTCTGCGTACTCCAGATCGATAATGTTCCCACCGGCAACGATTTGGACACGGGGTTTTGGAGACCTATTAGCGTTCGGTTTAATATTTCATACGAATTTGCACAAGCATGGAGTGGACATTCTTGCCGGATGCCGCTTTGCACAGGAAAACTTTGGAGAGCTCACTACACACTCTTACACCCAGAAGTATGTGAATATAGGGATCGGATTAAGTTAACAAACTTAGGGACATACCCTGTTAAGAAAGTGACGTTAATAGCACTGACCGATCGACAGAACTGAACGTACACTTGAAGTCAAGGAACACCAAGACTGTGGGTCGTTTGTACATGTGCTGTCGCTCTAACACCTGACGGAGTAAGCGGATAAAGTTAATGAGCCCGAACATGATTAAAACAGTGAAGCGAAAATCTAGTAAGGCCGTGAATCGAGAACTGGATAACTCAGAGTCGCTCCCGACGGACGCCTACACAATCTTTGACTTTATACTCGAGAACAAAAAAGTGAACGATGTGGGCGTCTTCCTTCAAATTCAAGAACCCTTGAGAAAACGAAAAACCGTTCGATTCGAGGAACTAGTATGACCGACTCTCTAACTTTCGAACATTATGCAACAGTGGAATTGATTTACAGATCTAAAATTAGAAGTATGCATCTAAGAATCATCTATCATGTAAGAATGTCACACTTCGTTGCATCTACACTCAACTTGCGAGTAAACCAGAAAGAAAGTGCAGTGCGGACACCCTGAATGCAAAATACCATAAAATGGTGGGTTACGGGAGAGGAACGTCTCCTGTATTACGACCTTGAATAGGTGAGTGGCGATCATTCTTGACCCGGTTTTGGCTAGTGCAAAAAAGTACAACGTGGATGCACATTACGATCACGAGGTGGGCCTCACCTCATCACTCATTGTGTTTATCAGTCATCTTCGGCTGACTTTTTACGTCGAGTGAGAAGTTGTGCAAGGGTGGTGAAAATCAACAGTCCCCCCCTGAACAGGCATTTTGCTCTTGGACTGTCTAAACTATCCCAGTGGGATAAGGGGTGAGGGAATCCGTTCGCTCTTAGGAGAAAATGAAGCGCATTTACTTCACTTACTTCACTTATTCACTTCACTCATACGACCAGCTCGGTTGAAGGAACGGTTGTACTATACCCTATCTTGGTGAATGCTAGCCATGTGTATGGTCAGTCATGCGAAGTTACAGTGTGAAACTGCTACTCCAGGAGTTTAAACACCCCTCAGTATTTTCCATAGAGGAGAATGTCGGTAGTTCATGTAGCTTGGATGGTCGTTGGCTTGTTCGTTGAGCTGGGCAATTTGGTTGCAAACGTTTCATCATCAATCGAGGTTACATCATCAGTGTGTAGTTGTGAGTAGCGGTGGGTTAGTGGTAACCAAGCCGACGACCACCCCTCAGTATTTCTGAGCTACGTGGTTTTAACCATCCAAACAGCCGCACAGTATTTTTTGGCTTTTCAGGACAAGCTGGTTTCGTTCTGCAGAGCTGTAGCTTCAAGAACTCCTCACTGATAGCACAAGCTTAAAGAAATAGCACACTTCCTCCAAGGCACTAACGGCAAAAGACAAACAAAAACAGCTGTGCGGTAATAAAACAAATTCATCCAAGAACGACCAATCAGAATGAGTTTCACGTAATTCGTAAAAGAATTGGTAAGAAAGCGTGTACATTTTCGGATGGTGGTCAATATTCGGAATTCTTGAGGAGCAATCCAAAAGGACCAAGCTAACAGATCAGGACTTTGTTCAGCGGGTGTCCGGCTGCCATCGCGACGAACACCATACCTGGAGGCCAACCCCAAAAATAATCTAACTGTTAACAAACTAGGCCACTCTACAATTAACCGGAAGTGTTTGGTTTCAAAAAAGGCTCGGTGGGAACGTCGCCTATGATCCTCTTAACTATTGCCATAAAGCCGCATCTGATGGCTACGGCTAAACTCTCACTATGCACGGGGATGAACAGGGTAATTTCCATATGTGCTATTGCCGTAGACATGAGCATATTGATTCCCCCTGTGAATCAACGGCGAACAAGGGTAACTTTCCTTGTTTTCTGACTACTCATGAATAACATGACTTACACCTGTTTATTATGACACCGTTTCGTTTTCTTGCTGCTCGTTTTCCCCCGCTTTGTTCCTACTTAAGGTCTGCTTATCCCTCAGTAAGTGATGTCAATATTTGTTACCCGTCTGTCATTGCCTGCAAGTTCGCCTCGATTGCACCTATTTTTTGAGCGCCCACTCCGACGGAAAAGTGAGTTAACCGGGTAGCAAACCGGATCCTCAGGACGGCAAGCGAACGCGCTACCGACTACACCGACCTGACGCACGGAGCGGCTGATTATTTTGTATTACCCATGCATCACGCCTGCCAGATAGCTTTTGCTGAGCTTTGTTTTACACAGACGAAACCGCGTAATCTGACCTGTCGCGCGACACGAGCGGCTGCGTCGACGCCGACCGAAAGACAGTCCCTCACATCCCGAACGTACTGACTCCTGCGCCGTTACGGCCAATTCACACTGTCAGACTGCCCCTATATGTACGTCTGTACATCGTTTAGTACTTACTTGCTATTGCCCCTATAGAAATCCGTGCTGCGTCAGTGACTACTTCCCGCTCCTGCTGATTGCGTCATTGTTGATTGTACGTTCGCTTAATTCATGATGCTTACTAATCCGTTTTTCTGTAGAACCAGTTCCTGTCAGTCTTCAATATATCATCTGCTGCCCCACGTCTGTCTGCTCCTATTGACTACTGGCGGCGAACTGCGTATAATCTAATAGTCGCAATCGTCCTGTGAGATCCTTAACCGTCCGGATCTTACAGAGCATATGCAGCTGAAAATCTCCCAATAAAATCGCGTGCATACAAAAATGCTGAACAGAACACCAACCTTGGGTTTACTTCCAAATGAAAGTTGCTCGAGACAGTGGAGACTGTCACCTTTTTGTTCGACGGTGTGAGGAAGTTGTGCGTTTCCGTCCGGAGGCGGTCAACACCTGAACCGTAAAGTTCACGAAGAAGGCACATAATTCTAGTGCGTTTGCCAGAGCCCGAGGGTCCGTAGACCAGCAGATGTGGAAAATTTCCACTGTCAACCTACGAGTACATCGGTCAAAAGACTAAACCTACCAGATTTTTCAGGGCGGCTGCCTCTTGTTGATGGTAATCCAGCTTTTGGAGAGAGGTTGGAGCATATTTGTCAACCCACAGGCTCATTTCTCGTGAAACTGATGCAACTGACGTAGTACCTATAGGAAGGTATATATATATCAAAATGGTGAAATAAAACAAGTGTATCTCTGGAAGCTCCGATTCCATTCGGAGAAGCTTCTAAAATACTTCTGGTTAAGCAGTCTGCTGTGGAATTCGTACTCATTATCGAACACGCTGCTACCAGAGTGGTGCCACGAAACACTGTTCAGAAGACGACTTATGTAAAGACACTGTGGGATATAGATCCGGACTAGTATCAATAACAGTCTGATTTAGGTTAAGTGACCTATGCGGGAGGCATAGACATCTCTGAATGGTTATGGCACGTCACCACCTGGTGTCTTCTGTTTTCAACTTATTTTACTCTTTTTGCGGCGAGTCTAACTTCAAGTCAACTGTCCTAATCAATGAAGCAATTTCATAATAGTCTGCTTGAAGGAGGATAAGTCGTACCTAGGGATATTCGAAATTACTAGCACATATGAAACAGGACCAGTATCAAAGCGGGAGCATAGTACCATCCGTTGCTTGCTTGATTCTGTGACAGATACGTGGGCCAAAATGCTCCCAGTGTCATTATCAAAAGTACGGAAGCAACATGGACACTACACTTCAGAATTCGAGTTACAGGGCATGCACCCAAGCAACAGTCGGTTGAATAATTGTGAAAGAGTGTAGAACACCACATTGTCCTTGAAAGCTGTTCAACCAAATCTAATTTAAATACGGTGTAGGCACCTCGGAATGATTGTGTTAAGCTAGCACTAAGTCCCTCCCCCATCCACCTTTATTCNAGGCTTTCAAATAAGTCATGGTTGTACGGCAGTGAAGCATCGGTGTTGAACACTGATGTCATGCTGTCGATGATGATGATGATGAATTTAAATATCCTCCGTAAGCACCATTTGAAAAATTCTCCAAGCCTGCGAAGATCAGCATCTCAGGGTAGAGGGGGAAACCTCAGGGCGTATAACATACGGTTAGCTAGGCCAAAGCGTCGCATTGTACATACAGCTCCGCTCGAAACCCGGTTTTGAGAATCTCCATATAGAGCAGTGGTTTTCCTGGACTTACCTATACCAACATGTCTAGCATGTTCGCCTGTGTGCTAATGGAGCTATTGTATCTGAGAGGACCGAGTTCAGTTACGCCTGTTACGTGAGGGGCAGAGATCGTAGAACAAAACGTAAAATAAAAAAATTGGACGTGTGCAACGTGGAGGAAGTGCACTGACGTAGGCAGTAAGCAAGGAAGGTTCCCATGAAGTCGAAAACAGTCAGATGATCACAGGTGTGAGAACGGTAGTGCGTAGAGAAGAATAAAAAACGCAAAATTTTGAATTATGAAAACCTGGTATGAAAGAGGAGTAAAAACAAGACGGCGAGGCTGTCACACTAGTGCAAGATTGAACATTAATCGCCTTGTGCACAAAAGACAAGGCTACACCGGTTGACACAAGGGTTTCTGCGATTGCGAGATTTTGTTTATGTTGAATAATACTGAAAAGCAATACTGTGTTTGAGGGTAGATAAGACGTGTTTTAAATACGGTGACGTTCTTTGCAATCTCCCACGCATCTGTCCGCAATAAAGCTGTTGTGCTCCTTGTGGGCCCGGCCTAAGGCAGCCACCCTGACGCGGTCGGAGTTGAATGCTGCAGTGATCTCGCTGGCTGGAACTTCGTTCCACAAGGTGCGACTATGCCAGGAAGGCCAACGGAGAGCAGTCAGACCAAGTGCAGCGAGACCCCGGACTATGAACAATCGTACGGTCTGGGGGGGGGCAAAGTTATACTGTCCTCTGCGATAGGAACTTAAGGAAGGTGTTTCCTCAGGCGACCAACACATCCTTTCGAGGAATGGGCTAGAAAATGTCGGCCCTGAAAACCGCACACTCCGATCGCCCAACGGTTGACCGTGACAGTCGTCACATTATTCACTGCGGTCAAAATACTTTTAAAACCAAAAAATATGATACTGCTCAAAAGGCACCTACTGTGCGCAGTCACATCGGGAGTGAGACAGTAATACCTTTCTCGGCCTGAGGAACCGGGAAGCACCGTCTGCTCGCGCAGTTCTTTGTCCATAGATATCCTTCCCAAACCGCTTTCCACTGTTCAAGCTGAGTTATCTGACTGGCAGTTATCTAACCGATGTTTTTTATCCAACCAGCTACCCATTAACAATAATGGCAGCGCTGCGCCACAAGCGACACCCCCAGCACTGTGCAAATAGGCAGCAATTTAGTCCCGGCATGAAATTGCATCCCATGGTTGAGCAGTTGGAACAAACTACAGAGGAAGATCCTGGTAAATTCGCCTAGCATCCAGGTCTGTCATTCTCTCAGCTGCTAAGCGACTTGTCCGCATCTTACGCGGCCCTGGGAAAAGAAAAGAGGAAAGCGAATCCGGACGAGGACGTGATCAGAATCTACAAATGTGTTTCGAACCGGGCAGCAGGTGGTTAGTGATCCGCGCCATCAGTAACGAATGGCGATGTGATCGACTTGCGTTCGTAGCCAGTACGCCGTCTGACCAGACGACTTCGGCTATTTCGAAAAATGGTAGTGCAAAAAACGGCCTGCGGTCAGCACACAGCTGAAGCGATCGTTCGCCATTGTTCGTACATACGGAGTGCGCCACAAGCGACACCCCCAGCACTGTGCAAATAGGCAGCAATTTAGTCCCGGCATGAAATTGCATCCCATGGTTGAGCAGTTGGAACAAACTACAGAGGAAGATCCTGGTAAATTCGCCTAGCATCCAGGGTCTGTCATCTCTCAGCTGCTAAGCGACTTGTCCGCATCTTACGCGGCCCTGGGAAAAGAAAAGAGGAAAGCGAATCCGGACGAGGACGTGATCAGAATCTACAAATGTGTTTCGAACCGGGCAGCAGGTGGTTAGTGATCCGCGCCATCAGTAACGAATGGCGATGTGATCGACTTGCGTTCGTAGCCAGTACGCCGTCTGACCAGACGACTTCGGCTATTTCGAAAAATGGTAGTGCAAAAAACGGCCTGCGGTCAGCACACAGCTGAAGCGATCGTTCGCCATTGTTCGTACATACGGAGTCCATTCAATGCCGACCACATAATTGAGTCTCAGATGCGCTAATCCTGTGCACCTGTGCATCCAGGTCTCGGGAAACTATAGCGATATCTGAGTTTTTCGTTCTGGGCATTCAAAGCGTCATAAAATTTTGTTCGACGATCTAGAGCTAGTCAGCTGGAACGTAGGCAGAAACGACAAACAGAGAATGACCAACTTCCTGCTTCAACGACCTCTTCAGGAACGTTGCTATACGGACCGCACAGAGGCGCCCAGGAACAGGTAACCAATCAAACAGAGATTCTTCCGCCCGGTGACTTAGAAGGATACTAACCCCTGCATATCCTACCGCAGCGCACTCTGGATCACCAGAGGTGCGCTACTGGAAGCGAGTGGACAGCGATAGAGCGGTTGGCTCAACCAATGTGTTTGCATCTTGAAATATTGTTTCTAATACACAACACACATCAAAGTCAAGCGAGTCCAGTGTGAGGGTAAGAGCAGCTTATTGCCATGCTTGTTTCACAGTGCGGACATTGAAGGCGGGCTGATAGACTGGGTGTCGAGACCTGAATATTTGGGGCTGCCTGAAGATGTCAGCGCCGGGTGATGAGAAGATGTTGCCTGCAAAACCGATGCAGTACGAACGGAGTCATCAGCCGTAACAGAAGGGTCTACAAGGAAAGAATTATTGCTAAGGTAAGGAGAGGGGAAAATGTGGGACAGAAAGAGGGGAAGCGTCAGCAACAGCATCTTCTCGCTTACCCGTCCTGCTGTATGCAGCAAGGCGACGCGGCTGATGGCACCACGCGACGACCGATGTGGCATGGGATTATTTGCATGTGTGCAATCCATGGTTGTACGTAGGCTGTGATGCTACCAGGATGACGATTAGGGTCCTCAATCAAAGCCCTTGGCTGAAAATTGTGACAGCAGGGCAGCGGTATTTGGTGGGGAATGCGCCTCCATTTTTACAGAACAAGTCGCTTCCAAAAACCTGGAGGATCAGGAAACTGTCAGACCTCTACCTATCGACCAACTGGGTATGAAGGGCTCTGTAAGTGTCACGAGTACACTCTCCAATATAGCTCACACTATGAGACGGTCTCTTGTTGACGCGTCGTTTGCTGCTGGCTCTCAAGTCTACCACACGACTCGTTCCTCGTACAAACCATGAATCAGCACTCCTTCAGCTGCCGCTTTACTCACTGTTCAGTGATAGGTGACCTTACCGCTCTCAAGGACTCATGGGTGGAGATCCAGCACGCTGGATGCGGTAGCTATTTTGTATCTGCACTGAATCAAGTTGTGCAACAGGGTATCTAGACTCAGCATGTCATCGCACAGATCAGGTACCACACCGAAATGAACCACTGTAAGTCAAAGCTAGTCGAACTCAAGAAAGCGGGCCAGATACTAAGCCTAAACTAACTGACACCCGACAGCGCCGAAGCAAGCCAACGGCCTTCTAACTGATGAGCAGAAAGGGGAAATCCACGAACTATCCTGTATTAGTAGCAAAGCCTACAGGAAGCACTATTCATGGTTGCTGGTTTGTTCTCTGAGCTAAGTATTACATTGTATCGAGAAAAAAATAAGCGATCATCTCCGCCATTCGACTTCCCCTGTCTAGGCTTGGGCAAACTGGCAGTATCCCAGCCCTCGTGCTTCCTTCGGGCGGCATGGCAGCTAGGCACTGGAAGGGTGCTACGGCTGAATGCATGCATGCATGATATCTCCCAAACCGTTCTTGCGTGGCGAACATGCTTGTATTTATGGACAGCTTAACCCAAGCCAAGGACGAGGGACTCATACCGGATGCCATATCTTTCGACTTCTAAAAGCACGTCCCGCTGCTCCACAAACTCGTCTTGCGGAAATCAAGGGAAAATCCTACACTGGATTAGGGCGTTCACACAGAACATTCCGAGTGAAAGTAGGCTCAGCCTACTCTTCTC